AGAACTATTAAGACTCTGTTTAAAATATAGTGGTTACCAGAGGGGAGGGGATTGGTGAGTAGAAAATACCTTTAAGGTAATGTGCTAGGGTATTGATAATGGTGTAGAGTGAATGAAGCATTTGCACATGTTGAGATGTGAGGTGCTGTTCCCAAATTATATAGTTACATAAATGACAAATCAATAAAATTTGGAAAAAATGGAATGTGAAAATGAGTTCTTTATGTATTTTGGATACCAGTCATTTATCAGATAGTTCTTTTGTGATTATTTTTTCCAGTCTGTGGCATATTTTTTGATTCTTTTAACTGTCTTTCACAGGGCAAAAACACTCATTTATTGAAATCCAACTTAATTATTTTTCATGGATTGCATTGTTCGTGCTATATTTAATAATGATTGCCAAACCCAGTGTCACTAATATCACCCCCCCTATTTATGATTGTTTTATGATTTTCTATTCTATGTTTAGATCTGTGCTTCTTTTTAATTTTTGTGTCATGTGTGTTTAAGGTGTAAGTTTGTGTGATTTCCTTTTTTCTACATATTACTGACAGCATCCGTCCTTTATCTTTCTCCTTCTGGCTTATTTCACTTAGCATTATCCCTTCCAGCTCCACCCATGTTGCCACAAATGTCATGTTGCCACAAATTGTCACTGAGTAATATTCCACGTGTGTATGTATACCTTATCTTCTTTATCCACTTATCTGTTTTAGGGCATTTAGATTGTTTCCATTATTTGGCTATTGTAAATAATGTTGCAGTTAAACAGAGGAGCATAAGTCTCCTTTTGAATTAGTATTTTTTAATTTTTCAGGTAAATGCCTAGGAGTGGAATTTCTGGGTCTTATGGCGGATCCATTTTTAATCTTTCTAGATACTTCCATACTGTTTTCCATAAGGGATGGGTCAGTCTACTTTCTTACCAGCAGTGTAGGAGGAGTACCTTTACTCCACATCCTCACTAGCACTTGTTTCTGGTCTTTTTAATATGGGTCATGCTTACAGGAGTGGGGTTATATTGCATTGTGATATTGATTTCATTTGCTTCATGATAAGTGATGATGAACATTTTTCACGTGCCTTTTGCATCTGTATGTCTCCTTGTTTGATTTCTTTTTATAATTTATTTTCTTTCTTCATTTCCTTTAGTTCTTTGTCCATGTTTCCTCTTAACTTTTTGAGCATATTTAAAACAGTTGCTTTTAAGATTTTGTTTAGTAAGACTTACGTCTACAGTTTGAGGATGTTTTATCTCATCTCATTTTGTTCCTTTGAGTGAATCATGTTCCACTCTCTTTGTATATTTTGCAATTATTTTTGATGTTAAAATTAGGAATTGAATTAAACTATTACAGTGTGCTAACTCCAGTCAAGTATCCTATTTTCTAATTTCCACCAAGGTTTGCTGTCTTTTTTTTTTTTTAAATTTATTTATTTATGCATACAAGAGCTGGGGTGCAGGCAGAGATGCAGGTGGGTGAGAGGATTCACCAGAGACAGAGTGGGGAGCAGAACAGGCAGACTGACTGAAATACACTGCTGAGGGGAGCAGCAGGCGAGATAGGAGAGATCTGCTGTGCCATGTGGGTTGCTGCCTGGCCGGCAGGGGATAGAACTCCTGCTACAGAGGCTGCGGATTGCTTCATAGCACGGTGCTTAACCCCTTATGCCACCAGGGAGGCCCAGTTTGCTGTCTTATTTATTGAAGTCTCTAATATTCCTTTTGTCAAGATAGTTCTAAACTGTTTTTGTAAAGACCTATATAGCTTATCTGTATCACTGAAGTAATTCTTTGACTGGCTTATGCATCATATTCAGCTAATGTTTGATGCAGATATTCTTGAATCCCAGAAGCTAAAACAAACATACAACCAGTCACCCAGAACACACAGATCTCTGCATGCCATTCCTTATCTTCTGTAGCTTTTTACAATAGACATTATTTGATCATGCCATCCTCCTTTCATAAGAATTTCCTAAATATTTTCCATAAATACTCCAGTTAATTTCTGCCTGTTTTCAAAAAAATATTACCTAAACATAAATTTTTATTCTTTTTTATCTGGCTTATTTTTTCAACATTATATTTGTTAAATTTATAACATGTTGAATGTAGCAGAAGTTTGTTCATTTTCATTGGTGGATCAACTTATATATGAATAGAATACTTTTTGTGTCCTATATAAAAAGTCTTTACCTAGACAAAAGTTGTGAGGATATCATCTTATATTATCTTTTTTTTTAAGATTTATTTATTTATGCATAGAATTGGGGTACAGGCCAGAGGTGTGGAGGGTGAGAGGATTCACCAGAGACAGAGTGGGGAACAGAACAGGCAGACTGACTGAAATACACTGTTGAGGGGAGCAGCAGGCAAGTCAGGAGAGGTCTGCTATGCCATGTGGGTCAGCTCCCTGGCTGGGAATCGAACTCGTGCTGCAGTGCCTGTGGATTGCTTCATAGGCTGCGACTCTTAACCCCTTGTGCCACCAGAGAGGCCCGTCATCTTATCTTATAGAAATTTTATAGTTTTTCTTTTTATTTTAGGGGTTTTTTTGTTTTGTTTTGTTTTGTTTTTACTAGGGTACAGGCCAGAGGTGTAGGAGTGAGAGTATTCACCAATGACAGAGTGGGAGCAGAACAGCTTGGATTTATAGAAATACACTGCTATGGGAGCAGTGGGAGAGACAGGAGAGGTCTGTTGCGCCATATGTGGGCTAGCGCTCTGGTCAGGGATGGAACTCAGGCCATAGCAGTGATAGCACAGAGACTTAACCCCTAGGCCAGCCAGGAGACTCCTAGGTTTGCTTTTTAAATTTAGATCTATAATCTACCTGGTATTGTTTTTTGTACATTATAAACTATAGATGGCCACATTTTGTTCTTTTCCAATATGAATGGATGCACACACACACACATGTGCATCCCAGCACCATTTGTTGAAAAGACAATCTTTACAGTATTAGGTCATCTAATCCTTTAAAATTATATATCACTATGTTTATTGAAGTCATCTTTAATTTTTGGCAGTAACCTTTCACAGTTTATTAGTAAAGTTTTTGCACATATTTCATTAGACTTATTCCTAGATTAGTTATTTTTAATACTATCATAAATGGTATACATTTTGAAACTTTCATTTTCAACCTTCTCACTGCTGGTATAGGGAAAAGCACACAGTTTTCATATTTAGACTGACTGTCACTTTCTTTTAATTATTGTTACCTGCTGTATTTTCTTCTGTCTTTTTGTTTTCAACATATTTGTATCTTCATATTTTAAATGGGTTTCTTGTATATTGCATACATAATTGAGTTTGTTTTTTTTCCTCTAATCTAGCAATACCTTCCTTTTAATATTATGTTTATACAATTTGATTTAAATTTTACTGTCTTGCTTTTTGATTTACTGCCTATCTACATTGTTCTCCTTTTCTTCTTGTTTTAATGTCTTTAATATCAGTTGAATATTTTTATGATTTCATTTTACCTCATTTTATCAGTGAGAAAATCTTTAGAACCAGAATTCACCTGGTTGCTAACTCAGACACTCAGCGTTAGTTTTAATGTTCTTTCTCCCACATAGGTATTCAATCATAACATTCTATCAGTTTGTCTTTTTTATAGTTACATATGAAAGTCTTTTTTTAATTGATGTTTAATTGACTTACAACTTTATATTCATTTCAACATAATGATTTGTATATACAGATCTTGCTTAACTTAAAATGGCATGTTCTGATAAACCCATCATAAATTGAAAGTGTCATAATTCAAAACTGCATTTAATGTACCTAACTACAGAACCACAGAACATTGTAGCTTAGCCTAGCCTATATTAAACATACTCAGAACACTTATATTAGCAAACAGTTGGACAAAATCATCTAACACAGTGTATTTTGTAATGAAGTGTTTACCTCATGTGATTTATTGAATTCTGTCCTGAAAGTGAAAAAGACTCCATAGAATACTCTTGAGCCATGTGATGGTGTGAATGACTGGAAGCTGCTGCTGTCCAGGTTCAAGAGAGAGCATCACACTGCTTATCATTAGCCTGGAAACAAGCAAAATTCAGAATTTGAGGTGCAATTTTTACTGAATGTGTATCACTTTCACACCATCAGAAAGTCAAAAAAATATAAATTGAACCATTGTAAACTGGGGACTATCTGTATTTTGAAATGATCACCACAATATGTCTAGTTAGCATTTATCCCCCCCATATATAGTTACAAAAACGTTTTTTCTTGTGATGAGAACTTTTTAGATCTACTCTCTTAGCAACTGTCAAATATTCTTTCTTCTCCACCCTTTACTGCTTCTTTACTGTTGTTCATGGGATTATCTCTTATCTGGATATTTACAGTTCTTTTTTGACTGATCTCCCTGTTTCCATACTTCAGAGTGATTTAAGCTCTGATTTCATTTTATCTGCTGTATACCTCACTAGAGTAATTATATGTAATTGTAATTGCTCATATACCTTTGTTTTCTTATCTAATTTATAAACTCCTTGAGGTTAGAGGCATCTTCATCTTCAACACCCAACAAATATGTGTTGAATGAAATAATATTTAGATACCAGAAGAAACTCGTAGATAGAATATCTTTCATCATGTGATTTATAACTGTCCTTTTATCATTCATCCATGAATATTTTTGTCAAATATGCAGCAGTCACAATGGGGGAATCCAAGGTTTGATCCTTGCCCAATGCACCTTACAAGTTATAACTGATTTTTCCTAGTTACGCTTTAAAAATGAAACCTGATTTATGAAATTTTGAAAATAAATAGTAATCACTATTTTATGACTCAGTAGTTCTGCAGGAATTCACTTAGTAAAAATAGAAAACTTGGGGTGTATTATGGAAAGTGTAAGAGACACTGTTTTTCCTCTTGGTTTAAAAAATATTGAGGTTAATATTAATAATTAAAATTTGCTAGTAAAGCACAGGATATGAAAAAAATGTTCTTTTTTCCTTTTCTAAAGGAGAGACTAAAACTTATTTATGAGGAAAGGAAAGAAATCCTGGATTCTCAATTGACGTTTTTGAGGTAAAATATTATCATCCATTTAAAGTCAAAGCAAAAGTATTAAATGTATTTGAATGCTTGTTGAAATGCCTATTTTATTCAATATAAGAATTACTTGATGATATTTTATATGCAATCTGAAAAATTTCTGCACGTTATTAAAGCATAAGGGACATAAAATTTTAAAGTCCTTTCCCAAATACCATTTCAAAGAACTGTCCACTAAATTATCACTTGTATCCCTTCATTAGTTGCAAAACATGTGTGTTTTCTCATAAAGGTAAAAATCATTAGCTATTCTTACAGAAATTATGCTTTTAAATTAAATAATAAAAATGAAGCACTCTAGTTTTCAAATTGCAAGAATTTCCCTCTTCAGATATTCTTAATTTAATTTTAAAACTCAACAATAACTTTATAGCTTGAGTACTTTTGTATATGTAATTAACTTGAATATACATAATGGGGTTTTATATAATTTCTTCCCCCTTTTTCCATGTATTTTTTTAAAAGATTTATATATTTATTTATACAAGCACTGGGTACAGTTAGAAGTGCGGGAGGGTGAGAGAATTCACCAGAGCCAGAGCGGGGAGCAGAACAGGCAGAAGGACCGAAGTACACTGCTGAGGGGAGCAGCGGGCAGCAGGAGAGGTCTGTGCGCCATGTGGGACCCTCACTGGTGGCCGGGGATCGAACCAGCGCTGCAGAGGCTGTGGGCAGCTTCGCAGCCCAGCGCTCAACTGCTGCGGCACCAGGGGAGGCCCCCTTTTTCATGTATTTTTTGATGTTTTTTAAAAACCCTATAAAGTCTATATATTATAGATTAATTGCTAGTGATTTATTATATATTATGAATAGAAAAAGAAACCAGGTAATATTTTTTGTGTTAAAGGTTATTTTAAATAATGGTAATGAAATATTTTCAAATCAAACTTTAAAATACTTTTTATAATTTTACTTTAATAAGTCTAATTAGAAAAATGTGGGTCTCCCCGATGGTGTGGCGGGTTGAGCACAGCACTGTGAATCTGTCTGCAGCCTCTGCAGTGTGGATTCCTGGCAAGCCAGGGAGATACCCACATGGCGCAGCAGACCTCTCCTATCTCACCCACTACTCCCCTCAGCAGTGCTTTCGGTCTGTCTGCCGGTTCTGCTCCCTGCTGTGTCTCTGGTGAATTCTCTCACCCTCCTGTGCCTCTGGCCTGTACCCTCATTTTGTATAAATAAATAAATCTTTTTTAAAAAAAGAAAAAAAAACAAAAATGTATACAAAATTTTCCAAGTCATATGTTGTCTAGAGAATTAGCTAGAGCGATACAAAAAACCAGAACTCTTGACTTGTAGAGACAAGTTATTGTTCATCTATTTTAATATGTTTTTATATTTTTCATACCTTATTCTGATTTCTGTAGAGATTTTTTTATGAAGAAATCTAATATCTAAAAATGATCTATTGTTGATTTCTTTTTGTCTTGTTATATTTTAATAACCACTATGTTTTAAAACTTCAGTTTTTAAAGTAATATATTTAATAATACATATGGAGTGTGCCATTTTTAGTCTCATAGAATTTTAAATTCTATGAGAATTTAAAATTTAAAATTCTATGAATTTTAAATTCATCTTTAATTACATTAACTATCACCTTGCAATGAGCTAGACTTGTTCCTTGCAGTCTTCTATTTCTTTATTTTCCTTTAGTAGAAATAATCCTTTAAGATTATTAAAAGAGGCATTTTCTCACCAAAAGAAATAAAATTGCTACTCTCAGAAACTATAACTATTTCTTTTCAGTTTTTTTTGTTGGCATTTCAAATAATCTTATCTACTTTGAGTGTTTTCTCTTTACATCTGACAAAAATAATATTGGAGACCATTTGACTTCGGAATGTGCTTCTGAAGTTCTTTTCCCAAATCCTTTGAAAGTCAGAAAAGAATGAAAGCTTATTATGTTGGAGAAATTATCTTGAGTATGAGTATGGGGGAAATAAAGTTCCTTTTTTCCAACAACAAAATGTACTGGAGGTAAAGTGCCTGGCTTTAGTTGTTCAAGATTTTATTTTATTTTTTTTTATTTTTTTTTTTTTAAAGATTTATTTTATTTATTTATTATATAAGCACTGGGTACAGTCAGAAGCGTGGGAGGGTGAGAGAATTCACCAGAGCCAGAGCGGGGAGCAGAGCAGGCAGAAGGACCGAAGTACACTGCTGAGGGGAGCAGCGGGCAGCAGGAGAGGTCTGCGCGCCATGCTGCGCCATGCGGGACCCTCCTCCGGTGGACGGGGAGCAGCCGGGGATCGAACTGCTGCAGAGGCTGCGGGCAGCTTCGCAACCCAGCGCTCAACCGCTGCGCCACCGGGGAGGCCCTGTTCAAGATTTTAAGGTCAACTTTCTCCTTTTTCATCTATTTAGTATTTTATGTATATATTAATATAAGTATATGTATATTTATATATATATATCAATGTGGGAGGGTGTATGTGTATACACACACACACACACACACACACACACATACACTCTACAAAAATAATGTCTGTGCGATGGAAGTTGACTTTACCAAAACTTGCTTGGGGTGGGAACAGAAAATATAATGTATAAGCTGTATAATCCTTAAAAAGTCAACTTACAGAAAAATTTCATCCAAAAGCTATTCCATAAAAGTAAAAACAAATAAAGAAAACATGCAGGGCCTCCCCGGTGGCGCAGCGGTTGAGCGCTGGGTTGCGAAGCTGCCCGCGGCCTCTGCGGCGCTGGTTCGATCCCCGGCTGCTCCCCGGCCACCAGAGGAGGGTCCCACATGGCGCGCAGACCTCTCCTGCCGCCCGCTGCTCCCCTCAGCAGTGTACTTCGGTCCTTCTGCCTGCTCTGCTCCCCGCTCTGACTCTGGTGAATTCTCTCACCCTCCCGCGCTTCTGACTGTACCCAGTGCATGTATAAACAAAACAAACAAACAAACCAGCAAACAAATAAATAAAGCATGCCTCTATTAAAAAAAAAAAAAAAAAAAAAGAAAACATGCACATGCACATACACACGCATACACATATACTCAAGCAATTCCTCAACTGTTTTTCTTTAGCAAGCTGCACATTTTCACATGTAGCTAGTACTTAATTAACTCTTATGATGAACAAGTTCCATATAACTTTCGTAGGGGGCCTCCTTGGTGGCGCAATGGGTTGGGACGCAACCTATGAAGCTGTCCATAGCCACCACAGCACTAGTTCGATCCCTGGCCGGCCAGGAAGCTACCCACATGGCAAAGCAGACCTCTCCTGACTCGCTCACTGCTCCCCTCAGTAGTGTATTTCAGTCAATCTGACTGTTCTGTTCCTCACACCTCTGACCTGTACCCCAGTTCTTGTATGCATAAATAAATAAATCTTTAAAAAAATAAATTTTGTGGTGTTGGTCTTCCCAAAAGGGTCAGATAAGTTTTTCTCAATAGGCCAGGAGTAAGCATACCTTGGCACCTTGATGAGAAACTGGAGATCAGTCAAAACCCTGTGAGCCTTTTTTTAAATCACTTTTTACTATTACTTAAAGAATGCAGATTATTTTAGGTTGAGACCAGAGAGGACCCTTAAGGCTAGGAGGAGCTTCTATCCTTAGCTAAATCTTTAGAAGAAATACCGTGAAGAAAGTAGTTTGGAGGGTCTCAAACAGTTGTAGATTTATCAGTGAACATTACCTCTTTACCTAAACTCTCAGGTTTACTTTCAGAGTAAGGATGAGCTATGCACTCCCACCCCTTGTCTGCCATGTGAAGTCTCCTACGCTTTCTCCTTAACACTGCAGGTCCCTAAATGCAGGATCAATATCCCTGATCTCCTCCATTATTCTTTAGAATTGGCAACCATGTACATTCTCCATATGTATGTTATTAAATCGATTGTTTTTTCTTTGCTAGCTCACATGATGGTATTTTGATTATTCATTCAATCCAACAAAAACCCAGATGAATATATGATTTCCTTTGAGCCTCTATACTTTGTATAACCCGCTGTCTTTTAAAATGGTTCTTTGTAGAGCCTCCCCGGTGGTGCAGTTCGATCCCCGGCTGCTCCCCAGCCACCGGAGGAGGGTCCCACATGGCGTGCAGACCTCTTCTGCCGCCCGCTGCTCCCCTCAGCAGTGTACTTCAGTCCTTCTGCCTGCTCTGCTCCCCGCTCTGGCTCTGGTGAATTCTGTCACCCTCCCGTGCTTCTGACTGTACCCAGTGCATGTATAAACAAAAACAAACAAATAAATAAATAAATAAAACATGCCTCTATTAAAAAAAAAATTTAAAAAAATAAATAAATAAATAAATAAAATGGTTCTTTGTAGAACTTTGTGGTTAAATAATTTTTTTTAATATTTATTTTTATTTATGTATACACAAGAGCTGGGGTATAGGCAGGGGGGCGGGTGAGAGGATTCACCAGACACAGTGCAGAGCAGAACAGGCAGATCCACTGAAATACACTGCTGAGGGGAGCAGCAGGCGAGACAGGAGAGGTCTGCTGTGCCATGTGGATTAGCTTCCTGGCAGGGGATCAAACTGGTGCTGCAATGGCTGCAGATAACTTCATAGTGCTGATACTTAACCCCCTGTGCCACAGGGACACCCTGGTTAGATAATTTGTTAATTTTTTTTTAAAGATCTATTTATTTATACAAGAACTGGGATACAGGCCAGAGACGTGGGAGGGTGAGAGAATTCACCAGAGACAGAGCGGGGAGCAGAACTGGCAGACAGACTGAAAGCACTGCTAAGGGAAGCAGCAGGCAAGACAGGAGAGGTCTGCCGCTCTATGTGGGTATCTCCCTGGCCGGCCCTGTGCTGCAGAGGCTGCGGAGAGCTTCACAACTATGCACTCAACCCACTGCGCCACCAGGGAGGCCCTTAATGTTTTTTGTCCTGAAGAAAAACGGGCTATAGCAAATTAATCATGTATAAAATCCATGTTCTGTATCTGATCTATTAAGTACTCTTCACAAAGAGGTTTATCACTTCCTTCAATTCAGGGATATTATATAATGTTGCTCCATTCCTTAGTTAAAAGAAACATTTATATTTGAGGTTTTATTTTTGTTCTATGGGTAATGCAATGGAGATGAGATCCTACAAAAATAAAATATGATATGTGGCACCTCAAGACCCCCTAACTTTTATGCTCCAAAGAGGTTCTGCCATCCACCACATAAAGATAAAGCATGCTCTTAGTGTGTAAGATTTTTAATGGAATGATTGTGCATAGGAAGGGAAGAAGAGAAAGGACATAGTTTCCTAATGAAACACACAAAGTTATCCATCTCCTCATGCATAAATGCTCAGTCAATCAGCGGGGCTACTCAACCCCAAAAGTTAAGCTCCCTTCTGATGGGGAACCATAGGAAAGGGTCAAAAGGGGGTAGGCAATTCTGGGATGAAAGGAACAAAATTTAAATAAAATCAGGGTAAAGGCTTCCTTTATTAGCTTTCCCAACTGTATCACTCATGTCTCTTTCAAGTGTCTCTACGTGTCTTGACTCCACACGTCACTTCCATGTCCCCCAGTTCCCCGATGTAAGTTCAAAACTGAGAAGCAGGTGCACCTTCATTCACATCTCTCTGCTTCATGTGTCTCCTCTAAATCTTCTGTATCTTCACCTGGGTGCTCAGCATCACCCTTCACTAGGTGTGGTAGAGAACCTGGAACCTCCCCAATATGTGTCAAAATCTTATAAGAACTTAATCTAGTGTAAACAACCAAACCTAATCTTTCACTCATGTCCACTAAGCCAATGCATGAACCATAAGAATGTCTTTGCAAAGAGTATTGGCCACCAAAGGAGGATTGCCACCAAAGGAGTCCACAATTGGCTTAACACCCTAAGGAAGCCATTTCCCTGCAAGGCAGGAGTACTGTGATTATATAAGGGGGAGAAGGAATGTGAGAGAAATGTGGGGCTTTGCATTTCCAGGTCCAAGGAGGTGCCTGGCAGTTTAGGGGATATGAGTTAAAGTGTTTGACTTTCCCAGTAAGGCATTTTCTCAGCAATCAACAGATGTGTTTCTGCTGTCACTATCAACTTCAAAAGAGCACAGAGAATTTTTATTAGGATATAACACAACCAGTTTTCTAAGTTTCCAGGAGCAAGTTATTGGTTAGTCACAATGAGGTGCACAAAAAGAAAGAACAAAGGGTATTTAGAATATAATTTCACTTATTCCTAATTTTTAATCTAGAGTAGTTTTTGTGGTAAAATGGAGATGATCTGTCTCTATTAATTATTTCATGCAGTCAAGCCTCATATTTTAAGTGTAAATTAAAATAATCATACTTACATTTCAGGGTTGTGATAAGAATTACTGAGATAGTATATGTAAAGCACCTCATAAAGTAAATTAGATAGTTATCACTATCACAATGATCATAGTTTTTACTGTAGTGATACATTTGAAAATAGTGTACTTTTACTTCACCTTTTGCTGAAAATTCTCCTTTCTTTTAGGAAAGACTTAGCTGAGTATCAGAAAAAATGTGCAGATCTTGAAGAGCAACTAAGGCATAAAGAGTCTCTTCTTGTCGCTAATATTTCTAAGTCTGTTGGTGGTATTTGTTTGAAATGTGCTCAACATGAAGCTGTTATTTCCAAAACCCATAATAATGTTCACATGCAGACCATTGAAAGATTGACTAAGTAAGTATGCCTCTGTGGAATTTTGGCGTCACGGAAAAGTATGTTTTTCAAGAGATCCTTTTATCCCACATAAATAACATGAAGTTAGTTAAGCTTCATGTATAAATCACATGAAGTTAGTTAAGCTTCAGATAAGGTGAATTTTTAAAATGTCTTTCACTGTAGTTTTCTTAAAGATAGAATAGGTAGGTTCTGCAGATTGTGATGTGGGATTTGTTTTCCAGAAGGGTCAGATAGGCTTTTTCCAGATGTCCAGATAAGGTCTTTTGTAATACTTCTCACTATGATATGGGAAACTAAAGTTAATTGATGCCCTGTGGGCCTCTAGAAGAAACTTTATCATTAAAGAATAGAGATTATTTTGAGTTGAGAGCAATGAATACCTTAAAGACTAAACAGAAACTCATCTTTCCATATACTTTGTCCTTCCCTAATTGAAGAGGAGATCGTCACCCCCTAACCTTTTGTTCTTCCCTGATCAAAGAAACAATCACTGGTCCCTGTCTTATGACTTTTCCCATCATAAAATGACTAGTCCCCATTTTATACTCATTTTATACTCTTTTCTGAGTAAAAATGAGATTATTCCCTCCTTGTCATGTGAAGTGTCCCCCTCCTCTCTCTTCTGTGCCCCAGGATTTGTACTTTAGGAGTTATACCTCTTTCTCACTGACCAAAATCAGGTACTGCTTAATAATAATAGCTACCCCATCCTGGCATGTTATTAAATTGATATTCCCTTTGCTGACCCATCTGATTCTGTTTTGACTACTTGTTCAGCCTAAAAAGAACCCAGGAGATGGGGGATTTTCTCTTGAACCCTGACAATGGATAACCACATCATTTCAGACAAGTAACTTTTTCTTGCTTAAATGTACACATACTTTTGAGTGGTATCAATGTATTACTGATTTTTGTTAAATTCCTTTCGGTAGCTCATACTGCATTGGAGAAGTTTCTCCTTTTCAGAAAGGAGAAATGATTTCTACTGTATTATCCTGGTGAGACAACCTACGTAAAAGAAATTGTGAGCTGATAGGTTGAGTTGCCTCAGTTCTGTTTGAACAGGTGGACTAAGTCATAGATTGGCGACTTCTGTCCAAACAATTCAGCTCACCACCCTAACCATTGGGCACCATGCTAGATTATAACCCTTAGATGCTGACTAGTGATTATCTCATAATTTCCTGGAAGGAGAAAGATGAGAGCCCAAATGCGTAGTAGGAATGTAACCTATCTAAGCATTCATGGGTATAGATCCACCCAGAACAAGCAATTATGTTGCCCTTCTGCTGCCCGCCTTGTGAACATAACTTTTAAATATCTTCTGCTAACTCCCTTTGAGGAACCAGGTTATATTCTCCTTTCCCAAGCTGACACCCTCATGCATGAATCTCTCTAAGAAAGCCTTGCCTGGTTTAGCTATAACTAGTACTGCCTGGAGGGCAAAACCCCTGTAACACTGGGGCTTTAGTTTAGCTAGTAATTTGGGGGTGGCTTATTCATTCAGTTTTATAGTTGACTTTGAAAGACTATGTTAGAAACTTCCCAGAAATGAGGAATAAGGAAATGTTGTACTCAGTTTACTAGACTTTCTTTTTAAATACAGTGATACTAATAATACTTATTAATATACCTAAAAATACTTAAAACTGATAGCGGAGAGAAGTATGGAATAACTTAGGAACGAAAAGCATTTCTTAAGCACTCCATATTTCAAGATGAAGCTCATGCATATGTATCAGACCAGCTTTCTCTTTTCCTTATTTTATTCATTTGGCCAAGAATATTCAGGGATTTTCTCATTCCTTTTTGCTCTGTTTTTTTTTTTTTTCCCCACTAAGTTTCTTAAATACTATTGATACATGTTTGGAGTCTTTTTTTGTTCATTTTTCTTTTGTCATTTATTTCATTGAATACTTTGTGGAAATATGCTTTTAACAAGAGGATATGCAGACTGATAAGCAATGAAGAGGATTAAACATAAGTCTCCCATAAGAATCAAATGTGTTAGCTTTTGATCTTGTTACAATCTGTTTGTTAACTAGTTAATAAGCACCGAGCTTTTTTGTTAATGTGTTTTTTTGAAACTTTGACTTTGATGGAGACATAATATCAGGAATAGACAAGATAATCATTGAATAGTAACTTGTTTTTTGTAGGTCTTAGAACTTTAAGGAAGATGACTATATCATGCCCCTCCTTACTTATCTGTAAAGATTGTATTTTAATTTTCTTCTAATCTCACAAGTTTTAGTTGGGGTGCATGTCATCAACAAAGCTACTCCCCTTTTATGTTAATGTGATTTTTTGAAATACAAATAAATACAAATTCAGTTTTGCTTGTACTTAATTTATATTTTATTTAAGTAGAATAATTAGTCTTGCTTTGATCTACTTTTTCACATAATCATTTGAGTATATTTGATCAAAATAATTAACTCCTTTTTTCATTATCTATAAAACAACAAAAAACCTTTCTCAATTAAAAACAATAAACAGAAAATTCTAAAATGAAGACCTCTATGCTCCCATGAATTTTGTAGTGATCTTATTTACAGTTTTATGAACTAGTAATAATTGCAACTTTGTTCAATATTACATGTTTCTTACAACATGACTGCTTTCCAAATGCCACAATTTTTTTAAATTACTTTACCTCTCAGACATATTTATGTCATTGTCTTATGCTGAAAGCTTTTCAAACTCAGTTTATCATTTTTTCAATTATGATTCCTTAAAGTTTATTAAATTTTTAAAAACCACAGTTGGCCCTTTTCTGATAATTTTGAACTTGGCAATGAAATAGAAATTGCAGGCAGTTACTTCAAATGATTTTGGTTTAAAACTTGAACTCTTTAACAAAGCATGGAATAAAATAGCATAGTTAATAGTCCAACATTACATTTTTTGCCTTCTGTGTATAGAAAGTTTCCCACCCACTTTATATTTGGTTCTACGTCACTTTTATCCTTTGTGTAAGTTCCATATATCATATAATCTTTTTGAAATGGATCAAAACCTGTGGAAACTGGTTGGCCCAGTTGGTGAGTCCTTACCTGCATGCTTAAGAACACAGGGCATGACCCAAGAGTAGATACATGGTGAGAAACAACAACAATAGGATTTATTTACATAGGGAGTGAGTAAAGGGAGAGGGAACATTTAAAGGATGACACATGGCCAGATGCCCTTTGTCCTATTCCTGATAGCATTTGCTGAGCAGAGACTGACATCCCATGCTAAAGCTGCATGGGTATCGCCACAGATAGCCATCCTCACTGGTTGCCTAACTATGGAAGCCCCAGCCATTCAATTGCCAATCTCATGGATACATGCTATCTTACATGCTATGCTATAACATTTTGGCATTTGGTTCAATTATTTTTTTTTAAAGATTTTATTTATTTATTCATACAGGAACTGGATTACAGGCCAGAGGTGGGTGATAGGATTCACCAGAGACAGAGCGGGGAACAGAACAGGCAGATTGACTGAAATACACTGCTGAGGGGAGCAGCGGGCGAGTCAGGAGTGGTCTGCAGCACCATGTGTGTATCTCCCTGGCCAGGGATCAAACTTGTGCTGCACTGGCTGGAGATAGCTTCATAGGTTGCGTCTTAACCTCTTGCGCCACCAGGGAGGCCCTGGTTCACTTCTGTCCCCCAAGAAATAGCTTAGTTTAGGCTACTTCTAAGAATTACTGAGGAGCTGGTTTAGACAGTCATCAGACCCGTGGGCTTTGTTAAATTGTAAGCATTATGTATGTTACCAGGGCATTTGAGTAATTCAACATGGAAAGTTCTATCCATGGAAAGACAAAATCTGTTCCTAAGTAGGTGAAGAATTTAACTGAAAGAGAAGGGGAAAGGATATATTTGTTCAAGTTACTGAGAGGAGAATCAACAGCATAAACCAAACCTCAGTAACCCCTTCTTAACACATTTACTTTTACTTTGAGGTATAGTTTTTTTCTACTTTGTTGCTTTTTCCCAACATCCTCCTCCTCCCCACTTTATATTAAACTAATTTTCTGTTTTATGGGCTTTAAACTACAACCCTCCATGTGCTAGTCCTCCCCACAATAGGTTATTATCCCATACAGATACAGTTTTGCCATGAATGTGCATGGCCTTTCTGCCTGCCCCTCACCAAATGAGGATAGAGGATCTCCATAGTGTGTGTTGTAATATGTGCTATGTTGACTCATACTCTTCTACTGTGTATTAATGCATTTTTCTTCCTGACTTAAAAATATATAATTGTTTGATCATTTCTTGTTGTGAATGTTCTTTTTGTACTGACAGAGAAAGAGATGACTTAATGTCTGTACTAGTTTGCATAAGGAGCAGCATGACAGATGTGCAGCAAAGAGAAGCAAGTGCTTATAAGCAGGTGAAACGAGCTGTGCAAATGACTGAAGAAGCCAATTTTGAAAAAACAAGGCAAGTCTAATACAATTAAAATAAAAGCATGCCATAATTGCTCTTTTTTCCCCTGAGTATTTCTTTGATTGTTGTTCTGTAACTAAACTCCTTTTTTCAGTTGAACTCTTTCCACACAAAGTGAATACCAATCTGTTATGTTGACTTTTCTGAATTAGACAAATTTGCTATTTGGAGAATTCTTACTCCTTCTCAAACACGTCTGTTTATCACTATTCAGAGAATGTAGTACAATGTGGTAAGGTATTTTGAGACTTGTGTGCTTAAACTTGTTATTTGCTGATAGTTTTTGAAGCTGTGAATATTTTCATATCCATAATCACTTCCATGTGCTCCCCCTGGAAGATGGCTGCTGCACTCATCCCCCTTGTCTGGCAGATTCCCACTGGAAGTTCATTATATAAACCTTACATATCAGGTAGATCCAGCATACATGGGCAGAGTGAGAACAAGTACAGCAGTGTTTTTTCTGAAGAAGTCTGGGTGCTCAGATATTCTTGGGAAGATATGGGACTTCGCCAACCCAGATGATAAAGGGTTCTTGGACAAACAGGGTTTCTCTGTTGCTTGAGACAAGTGGCTTGTGAGCAGAGTGGCCATGAAGTTACCTTGAGCAATCTGAATTTGAATATGCCACCTCCTAAATTTCATGATAACTAGCAGCATTTTGATCATCACACTGCTGTCTACAGAAGCAAACTGGCTATGCTCAATGGACTCTTTGAAAGCCTGGTTGGCTCTCTGGAGATAATGTCAAGCCAGTCCATATGAACTCCAACCTGCCTCTTTTTTTTAAAAAAAAGATTTATTTATTTATGCATACAAGAATTGGGGTATAGGCCAGAGGTTGGGGGGTCAGAGGATTCACCAGAGACAGAGTGGGGAGCAGAACAAGCAGACTGGCTGAAATACACTGTTGAGGGGCGCAGCAGGCGGAACAGGAGAGGTCTGCTGCACCATGGGGGTAGCTCCCTGGCCAGTGGGGCATCAAACTTGTGCTACAGATACTGCCAATAGCTTCACAGTGCTGTGCTTAACCACTTGCATCACCAGGGAGGCCCACCAACCTACCTCTTGACAGCATAGGCAGTGTCTGGACAAATATAAGATTCCTCAGGTGATGCACTTAGTGTACCAAGCCTGTACCCTCCCTTCTGCCTCCATTCCTCATGCCCCCTTCAAGAGAAAGAACAAAGTGCTCTGGAGACTGTGCCTAAACTGTCAGCCAGTATACCACTGAAAGGCAGCCTGTGTGCCATGCCTTTCCAGCAGCCTGGAACCTTGTCTCCATAGTGCAGCATCAAGTAGCATAGCCCACAGTGAACAGTCAGTGGCAGACAATATGTGGTTTGACAAGCTGTTCCTGAAGACTAAGCTGGACCTAGACAGAAACATGAGTGGCCAGGGGGTGAAAGAGATCATGCATGCTGGCCTAACCCAGAACCTTCCAGCACATTTATTGGCCCTGGCTGGTACCAGCAAATGGGGAGATTAAGCAAAGATGAGTTTATATTAGCTATGTATTTCATTCAGCAGGTCAGTAGAACACTGACCCCCCCCCCCTCAACTCCTATCACAGAACTTGGTCCCACACTCAGAGAGAGGTGTACCCATATAAGAAAGCTCCAGTAATCCTGGCTCAGGGGTGGTCAGTGGTGTGAAGGAGCGGAGTGACTTAAGTCAGGAGGTTGCCTGGTTACAGAGAGAAATACTGGAATAAGATGTTAGAGAGAAAGAAGAGGTCATCAGTAAGAAAGCTAATGACATCCAGAAATAATAAAACTGTCTAGACAAGGAAACAAGCAGTCGCAAAAGCTGCAAGTTCAGAATCAGGACCACCTGGATGAAATGAACCAGTAGAAAGCCAAGCTCCATTATTTGCTGAGCGACACCAGGCAGAAATGCCAGGACCAGACCCAGAAGATATCCTCATTGAAGACCCAGATCAAGACCCAGGAATCCAACCTCAAGCTCCAGGAATTTGATCTGACAACCAAATCAAAGCTAAATATGGTGCAGAATTGAATTAACACAGCTGGAGCAGAGCTTCCAGGTTGGGGAGGTCCAGTTGGAAACTATCATCAAGTTCTTCAAATTCACGCAGGACAAAATCAACCAGGCAAGAAACAAGCTCTCCCAGCTGCAAAACACACACTAGAAAGCCCAAAAGCAGTTCTCCCAGGTGCTTGATACCCAAGGCACCAGCCTGACCAACCAATCTGACCTGAGCAAGGCCAACTCCCTGACAGACAGGGTCAGTATGGGAGCTGTAATCCATTCTTTCAAAAATAAGACATTATTTAGCAACAACACACAAGAATTGCATTTAGATCCTTTCCAAGCTAAAGATACCTTCAAATCCAACTCATGTAAAGGAGCCGATCCTTTTAAAGGTGACCTGTTCCAGAGTGACCCCATTGCAGAACACAGATGACTTCAACAGATCCATTTGGAGGGGACCCTTTCAAAGAGACTCTTTCGAGGTTCTGCCTCCATGACTTTGAGAAAGGCAAAGAATGACCCATTCACCTCAGACCCTTTCACAGAAAAACCCCATCATTACCTTCAAAGCCCCCAAGTTCTGGCCCTTTCATCTCCTTCTTTGGAGAGGTAGAATTATGAAATATACCTTTAAAAGTAAAACTGCCCAGCGGAGCCTGCTTGGTTCCTCAGACTTTGCTGAGCCTCCACCACCTCCTCTGATACCTCCCTCCGTTCCAGCCATGTGGGACTGACAGGAGTGACACATTACAAAATAACAAGGGGCTCTGGGACCCCCATTAGTGAAAAAGATCCATTTGCTCCATCCTCTTCAGCTAAACTTTCTAAAGCATCTTTCTTGGGCTTTGCAGACTTCACTTCTGTAAGTTGAGTCCCCCCTGCTTGCCACTCCTTATACCCCGCCTCCACTTCCAGCTTCTTTGGTGTTGCCCCTCCCTAGCTTCTGTCTCCTGGTACCTTGTTATTCTATATTGCTGCTTTCTGTAAGAAAAACCATTTCTTAATAAAATGAAATAAAATAAAATGGTTTAGATACCCCTTAAAAAATCCATAGTTTTCTCTATAGATGGGAAATTTTGAGACTACCCAAATATGCCATAGATAATAATAATTTTGTATTTAGTAGCATCTTTAGTTATGATTCTGTATCTATTGTAGTCCCTTCTTAACATGTTTATTTAACATATTAATGACAAATCAGCCATACTTTTTTTTTTAAATAAAATTTTATTTTTATATTCCCCCATACAATTGCAAAAGCCCAATTCTGACCCCAATCCTTCCCTTCCCGCCCCCAACCCCCAAAAAGGGTCTCTGGTTCATAGTTTTTTGTTGATTTTGATTTTCACTTTCTTATATTCATTTTCCTGGTCCCTTATTTAAGTTTTCTAGATTCCTGCTATGAGTGAGACCATCCGGTATTTTTCTTTTCTTTTTGGCTTATTTCACTGAGCATGATCCCTTCCAGCGCCATCCATGTTGCTGCAAATTGCATGTGTTTATCTTTTTTGAATGCTGAGTAATATTCCATGGTATATATGTACCACATCTTCTTGATCCAGTCATCTATTTTTGGGCATTTGGGTTGTTTCCAAAGCTTAGCTATTGTAAACAGTGCTGCTATAAACATAGGGGTGCAGGTGTTCTTTGGAATTGATGTTTCTGTGTCCTTTGGGTAAATACCTAGGAGTGGAATTGCTGGATCATATGGAAGCTCTATGTTTAGTAGGTCCAGAAATCTCCACACAGCTCTCCATAGTGGTTGGACCAGTTTGCACTCCCACCAACAGTGCAGAAGAGTACCTTTTTCTCCACACCCTCGCCAACATTTGTTGTTGCTAGTTTTTTTAATATGTGCCATTCTCACTGGTGTGAGATGGTATCTCATGGTAGTTTTGATTTGCATTTCCCTGATTACAAGTGATGTTGAACATTTTTTCATATGCCTGTTGGCCATTTGCATTTCCTCTTCATAGAAGTTTCTTTTTAGCTCTTCTGCCCATTTTTTGACTGGATTATTTTCTTTGTTTTGTTGAGTCTCATCAGCTCTTTGCAGATTTTGTGATCAGTCCTTTATCATTAGTGTTGGGTGCAAAAATGTTCTCCCAGTTGGTGGGGTTTCTCTTTGTTTTTGTTATTGTCTCTTTTGCTGTGCAGAAGCTCTTTAATTTGATGTAGTCCCAGCTGTTTATCTTTGCCTTCACTATCACTGCTTTGGGTGATGTGTCTGTAAAGATGTCTTTGATGTGCAAATCCCGTAGTGTTTCGCCTATATTTCCTTCTATGTATTTTATGGTTTCAGGTCTTATGTCTAGTTCTTTAATCCATTTTGAGTTGATTTTTGTGTATGGTGTGAGGTAGTGGTCAAGCTTCATTCTTTTGCATGTAGCGACCCAGTTTCCCAGCACCATTTATTGAACAAACTTTCTTTGCTCCAATGCATAGTCTTTGCTCCTTTGTCAAAGATTAGTTGACCATAAATCTGTGGGTTTATTTCTGGATTTTCTATTCGATTCCATTGGTCTGTATGTCTGTTCTTGTTCCAATACCATGCAGTTTTGATGATTATGGCTTTGTAGTAGAGTTTGAAGTCTGGGAGTGTGATGCCTCCATTTCCTTCTTTTTTTTTCAGTAGAGCTTTGGCTATTCGGGGTTTTTGGTGATTCCATATGAATTTCATCAATAATTGTTCTATTTCTTTGAAGAATGACATTGAAATTTTGATTGGAATAGCATTGAATCTGTATATTGCTTTTGGTAGGATGGCCATTTTAATAATGTTTATTCTTCCAATCCATGAGCAGGGGATGTCTTTCCATTTCTTTGTGTCTTCTTCTATTTCTTTTAACAGTGTGTTATAGTTTTCTTTGTATAGGTCCTTTACCTCTTTTGTTAGATTTATTCCCAAATATTTGATTTTTTTGTTTCGATAATAAAAGGCATGGTTTTTTTGATTTCTTCTTCTTCAGATTTGTTGTTTGTGTATAGGAAGGCTACTGACTT